ACACTATCACCTTTTTCGACCCATGAAACACTTTTTTAAGAGAAAAATCCCCTAGAAACAATGGTTAGTGATGTAAAATCGATATTTGCAGAATGTTCTGCCAATAAATCGGGAGAATCTTTTTTAAAAGAGGCCTTGAAAATCTAGTCGGTGGATGAAAAAGTGTCGCGAGAAATGGCGGAAACAATAGTAATACACAACAATATATAATAGCACATGATGCAAATATGCATAGAACAATAGTACATAATAGCAACGAAAATCAGAAATTTTCATTTTAACGAAGAGAACGAAATTATTATCACTAGTGTTAATAACAAGTTCAACATGCTGTTTCCCATGAGGCAACGGATAACGGTTGAGGTATGTTCCACGTTTGAGAAGCCAATTTATCATAACGTTCAACGCCATCGACACACTCCGCGAGTACAGTTACCTTCCCGAACATCAAGCAAACATCTGTCGATATCTAATTATCCTTGTTCAGCGCTTGACTTCGAAAGACAACGAGTTGCTTCTCGCGCTGAGAATTTCATCCATACGCAATAAGAACCGACTGACACGCTCGTGATCGCGTGATCGCCTAACCCGGCGCGTAAATTATTTATGAATTACAAGCCGACGTACGCGATAAACGCGCGCACGAGCTCGCTGCTGTAAATGCGAGTTTAACGCGATTTGTATAATAGTATGTCTGTTATCTAGCCATCATTTCTTTTTTTCTTTTTCTCTCTCTCTCTCTCTCTAAACTGACAATCATCTGTTCTGAGATCGACAGATGAGACAGTAGTTACAGATATATGAAGAAAGAGTGACGTGAATATTTTGTTGTTGGTAACGAGATACATTTTTCTTCTTCCTCTTCTTCTTCTTCTTCTTCTTCTTCTTCCTTCGCGTTTTTGATGCGTAACGCGACTAAGGTTGCATTGGAAAATTGGATTCAGTCCAGGATACGCCAGCGAGGCTGCCGCGCGCATTACCATAAATTACACGTATCCTGCGAGCACGGTCACGACAATCACGTGTGCGTTAGCAACGAGAACGAGAACGTATCACCGATCCTGCCATGCGAAATGTCCCATTGAAAGTAATCCACGGTACGCGAAAATATTATTCGCGCGACACGCGTTCCTGTTCTTGGTCAAAATTAGTTACTTAGTTAATTAGTTACACTCAGTGCAAAATTAATGACATCCTATTACTAGGCTGCGAATGCGGTGCGTGTGATGTTGGACAATTTGAAGGACGAGACTAAGGAGGAAATAAACTATCGCCATCAACGAAACGTGTTTGAATAGTTTTTCTTTTTTCTTTTTCTTGTTTTGCTCGAGGAAAATTAATTAATACACTGCGGATATTTACGAAGCGAATTTCCAACTGGAAATTTGCTTCGTGAGTATTTTGCTTCCCTGCTAATTAAATATTTCCGTTGATTCTATTAACATATTTCTACAGGGTGGGCCAAAAAGTTTCTTCTCGTTCTTCTCTTTAGATGAAACATGAGAATACAAGAGAAAACTAATTTTACTAATTTTAAATTAAACTTAAGTTTCCGAGAAGAAAGGCGAAAAGATTAATATAAATGAACATGTAATAAAAAGAAATTGCGGATTTACTTTGGTAGTGATTTTTGGCCCACTCTGTGTTGTTTCTATCATTTCTATTAATTCTAGTCTGTTAAGTAATTGCGAAACCTTCTCTTCCACTTACAATTTGAACTCGAGGGCGTCATCAACCGTGGTACTCCTTCTTCAACTGAAACAGACAGAACAAAACTCTTATTTATTCCGCTTCTTTCCTCGTTAGTCAGCGGCATTCGCTCGCTCATAAATTTGTAATAAAGTGACTATGGATAATGAACGCCGGCGAGCGTAAAAAATAATGAAAAATTCAAATTCAGCCTTGGCTGTTAATAGCAACGATGCTATCTCGCTGATAAGCTAATTGTAATGGAAAATTTTCAACGGCGGCGGGTGAAGAAAAAGGTGTGACAGAGAATGGATCCAATGGTACGTTAATATTAAAAATGTTCGAGAACGGAGGAAAAGAAAATGAAAGGAAAAAGATCATTAAGCGGCCCCTGGTCGTATAATATCTTTCGAGGGGACAAAAAAAAAAAGTGCAACAGTTCGCGAGGTTCGCGGAATTTCGCGACAGATATCAAGTAAATAAAACGGCAAGTTTTAAAATTGAAATCGAAAGAGCGCGAACCATTTTCGGAATATTTCTCACTCGGCTATGCTCTCCTTCACTTTGGTATCCCTGTTATTTACCAAATACTTCCCTCCCACCACGAAGCGAACAGAAACCACTTTATAAACCGTAAAGGACGCAGCATCCTACGTATGGGCAGTAAAAGCGATTTTACGGTAGCGTGAATTTGGAGCAAGTCCAAGTCGAAAATCGATCGACCTTTAAACTAACCGAGCACATACACGCTCGCCGCAAAGTTACCAGACAATGAAACGAACGAAGTGTATCCGCTCCGCTGTGTTTGAAACATTTTCGATACAAATCTAGTCCAGAGAGAGAGAGAGAGAGAGAGAGAAAGAGAGAGAGAGAGAAGGGGAAGAAATTTATTTACCAGCGAAATTGTTCCGCTTCGAACGTTAGAAGACACTTTCTTGGAATACATTGAACATCGCGCTTGAATGCAAATGAAACGGTTCGTCTCTCGTGAAAAAAGAATTGCATTAAACGAATTTTTTGTTCATTTTCAACTGCTGCGGACAGGAGACGAGAATTCTCGTGTTTGAACGTTGTGGTAACGTTATATATAATTTATATCATATAATGTTATGTATAATATACAATTATGCATTATAATGTTATATAATTTTTCACGAAGTAGGGAAATTGTTTCCTAACATACCACACCAAGAAACGTTACTAGAGATATTTTCATTTTATTTAATGAAATACCTCTGAAATGAAAAATAATTAATAATTTTAATTATTAATAAAATGATACACTTGTTAAATGCTGTACACTCTCTTGAACCCTCTCGATCGTGTATTAAATAATTCAAAAAATACGAGAAACTGCAGGCTACGCGTTTATCAGAGCATACCGTCCTCAATGTGTTAATATAAATATAAAATAAATAATAGTTAAAATACGTAATAAATAGATTCTTAAATAATACTATAAAAAATATACAGTAATATTTCAGAATATTTTAGTGCGCATATGCATTGTACAAAGTTTAAAAATACGAGAAACTGCAGGCTACACGTTTATCAGAGCATACCGTCCTCAATGTGTTTATATAAATATAAAATAAATAATAGTAAAAATACGTAATAAATAGATTCTTAAATACTACTATAAAAAATATACAGTAATATTTCAGAATATTTTAGTGCGCATATGCATTGTACAAAGTTTAAAAATACGAGAAACTGCAGGCTACACGTTTATCAGAGCATACCGTCCTCAATGTGTTTATATAAATATAAAATAAATAATAGTAAAAATACGTAATAAATAGATTCTTAAATATTACTATAAAAAATATACAGTAATATTTCAGAATATTTTAGTGCGCATATGCATTGTACAAAGTTTCCCTGTTGCTCCAAAAATATGCGGGCCCTGGGAGCAGGTTGATCGCGCCGAGTGCGATACGCAATGTGTTTGGAGACGACGGGGAGTTAAAACAATTTGTTCTGCGCTTTCGCTGAACTGCGAGACAATCAGCGCGCGATGAGATGGAACGGTTTTGTCGTGACCAAAACGACCAGAGGGGAAAGCAGTTGAAGATACGTCAATGGAAACTCATACGTCAAAGGGACGAACTCCTATTCTCGAGTGAAAAGGACACAACCGTCCCGAAACGTACGTTTCGAACGAGCACGCTCGAATGTAGCAGAAGCAAATGGAAACGCGTTTCGCTCGCGACGGCTAGATCGTTTTAGAAATGAAACCTGAATGCCGAGGAGGTGGGGCAAGGATAACAACGAGATTAATTAACTAGAAATAAAAATAGTCTGGTGATTTCCTACGGCTATGCTCTGTTGAATGTTGCTGCACGTTGTGTTTATTTTATGATATTTATTCAAGCGTTACAGATCATTAAAATTTCATACGCTTTTTGTGTGAAAAATATCGAATACTGCGTTGTGTAACGGTGCTGATCGGTTATGGCTAACTGGCGGCTCGCGAGCCCTTTCCCCCACTTTTTTTTCATCGCTATCCCCTCCACTGCTGCATAAAAGAGTGGGGGGAGCACGTAGTGGAGGGGATAGCGCTGGCGAACAGAAAATTAGCTTACCAACGTATTCGATATATTTATCACAAAAAAATGTTTCAGTTCTGAAATTTATTACAAACGTATACTTTGTTAAGAGTTTACGTAAGTCTTAAAGAATATAAGAAGTATTAAAAATGAAGTTAAATATTCAGTTATATCCCTTTGAGTAATATCTGTATGGTAGAAATTATGGTTTCGATTTGAAAGAGAAAATTTGTAACTATTGAACAAATGAACATGAATACGAATCTTTAATTTTAATTCTTCGAACTAAGATTGACTTAGAAATTGTATATAATGCTTTTGATGCTTTACATCTAACACACATGTTAATATAATGTTTTGAACTGAATAACTGAAAACTGAGAAGAAAATTGTAACGGATTAATGATTGCAAAATACAAACGTGTAATAACGATAGTTGAGATTAATAACAGCCCCTGTGGAAATATAGAATATGTTCTTGATATATTTCTGCAAGTGTTCAAACACTACTCATGAACAACTGTGCATACAAGGTAACTACATGAAATGTTATCTCTTGAATTTTTACTTAATCGACTCGAATTATACAAATTTGTTTTTTTAAAAACGGCGTTACCTTGGAATGTTAAAGCACGAAAAGATAAAATTTATGATGGATAATTAGGGTACAATATTTACGTATCTACGTCAATGACGAAAATGTACATTTGTACAAATGTAGGATGCTGAATTAAGTTGGATCAGCTGATAACGATTGATAACGAAAATTAAGCAAATTGATTTTTCACTGTAAACGATAAATATAATATACGCGTTAGCGTGTAGAAAACATGTTGGATTTCTACGTTTTAGCTATTGTTTATCCATGCGGCTGGTTATCCATGGCGTCACTGGAGACACGAAGGAAACTCGTTCACGTGTAGATAATTTACTTATTCACCGCTAATAAACTGACACAATACGCAATTTGGTCATTACGGTGAATGAACGTAGATCTTGAGAACGTTCTTCAACGTTTACGATCGGGGGAGGGACCACAGAGAGAATGTACCTAAGCGCACGTTTCGAGTTTCGCTGAAATAACTTTCGTCAATAATTCACGAAAATATTGAATTTCGCTGCTGATGTCATCGACAACGATCTAACATTGTCGATCACGTATAAAACTGGCTAGTCATACAAAGCACACTGCTCCTCCACAACGACAATAATAAATCGTATTATTATCAACGAAGATCTAAAGTCCACTTATTCCTTTATTTGGAAAAACTAGTCGGCCATTCGTTTGAATATAAATTAAATTAATCAAATAAAATAATCCAGAAGAAATAGATCCATCATCGCACAATGTTCACCAAGGAATCTTAATTTTGTTATCTAACAATATTCCTGTTAATAGAATTCTTACATGAACAATTGAAGAAACAATCAATTATGTACGTGTACAGATAATTACATATAATTCTTAAAGATATAAACTATAAGACATATACATGTAACTCTTAAAAATAAAATTCCAAACAAATCGAATCCTCTCGGCTGCAAACGTGTTCCACCTAATATTTCTCCATTTTTTTCATAATACATATAAACAAAATATGACACGGCTCAGGTTCCTCGAATTTTTTTGCCCTTCGAGCAAAAGCGTTATATATTCCAGAGGACGGCGTGTATTTTCTGCAAAACACGCCGGAGCGTTTTTTTCTTTCTTCTTTTTCTGTTTCTCTTCAGCTACGTTATCGTTTATTACTGAAATATCGGTATCGAGCGCCGCACATTCGCAGATATCACGATACCGTGACATTTCTAGGGGGCGTTGCAATTTATGACCCAGTGTCACTTGAGTTAATGCGACAGGTCAATGGCAGTCGCACAATCAGTCGGAGCAATTCTAAGTCAGTCAGCGCTATTCGCTACTTGGCGAATTCACGCTCCTTAGACAACTCATTGACAGCTCACTGCAATTAGTTTCGTCATACGCGTGGATTCCTCTGGTCAGCAGTGCAAGTCAAGTCGAGAAGCAAATTATTTTTTAAACATCGTCCGCAAACATCGAAAATTATTTTATTACAGCCGGGTACAATTGCGCGGCTATGATTCAATGCAATACGACGAATGTTTATCTTTGCAAGAAGATTGCCAACGAACTACCGCAATATATATCGCAGCTGTACATTATTTTTAAATTACTTTCCAGAGTTATTTCGGAAATAATCCGTTTGTAGGAATAACGAAATTACGTTATTAAGTATTTCATAGGAATCCAATTAAATCATTTATTTGTAGTAAATTATTTCCTGTCTGCAGCAGAATCTTTATTTGTTATTTGATTTTGATCAGAAATAACTGGTCTCGCAACTTGGTGCCAGAACTTTTCTTTACGGTGAACTATCGACTGTCGACGTCGATTTTTCTGCGAGAGCAAATTTTCAGGGCAAGTAAACTCGTCCGAGTTTGAGAATTTTCGACGATACGCGCCACGTATCACCTCCACGTTCAAAAGAATAAGCTACGAAACAGCAGAACACACCGAGCGTGATACAAATATCGAGATACAAATTACACAGCGCAAATACACGATACGAACGTGAAGCAAATCGAGTCGTTCGATTCGTTGGACAGAGCTGGCCGAAGGAAGGAAAGGAAAAGGCCACCACCAGTAGAGACGCGAACCTAATGCCAGTTCCCCTTGAATCGGCATTCCACAACGCAGCACCCGGCTATTACACAACGCACTTACCTTTCCCACTTTCTCCGCGCTCTTTGTGTCAACGACGACACGCGCACGACAGAGGCCGGCTGCTGGCTCTTCCGTGCTTGCTACTCGCTTGCCCACGTGCTGATTACGCGCTTTCTTCCTTTCTTCGCGCTCCTCTTTCCCACTTCGTCCGTCAACCGAAACCCACGCGAAACCCAAGGCAACCTTGGCCTTTTGACGCTGCAAACGTTGAGATGCGACGCGAATCGAGGAAGGATTTCAGCGCGTTTTCGTTCTTGCGAGAGAGAAAAAAAGAAAAAAAAAAAAAACGCGCGTTCCTTGCCAGCAGCGAGGATTCTCGAAATGATCGAGGCTCTCTATCGAGCGAGTCTAATCGCACGTTTCTTCACGCCGGGCCAGTAACTGACCTTCTCAACGCAACCGGTTTTCGCACACGCGTCTGGTCACCATTCACCCGACCGTTCACCGTTCATCGATCGCTCGATCGTTCTCCACGATCGTTTGGTTTCCTTCCTGCGTGATTCTGATTCTTCTTTCTTTCTTTCTTTCTTTCTTTCTTTTTTTTTCATCCGCGATCCGTGGCGAAGGCGGGACCGGTGGCTTGGTTTCTCGATTTCTGGCGCTAATTCGCGAATGTCGGCGAATTATAGAAGAGAAGCAGAGTGAGAGCGGCGCGGTGTCTCGGCGAAGACTGGCGAGGTGACCGGCCGCGAGACGACGCGACGCCGACGTCGACGTCGACGCCGACCGAAAGCGCAACACGCCGAGTCAATGACAGCCGAGCGTGATTGGCCGAAGTCGCGGGCCTCTCCCGCCTCGCTGCATCGGCTAGCAAGCAGCTCCGCGCCGCGGCGACGCTCGCGCGAATCACGACACCGAGTCAACGCGCTTCTTTTTTTTTTTTTTTTTTTTTTTTTAACATTTTGGAACTACCAATGGCCAAAGCATAGAATTTTCATCAGAGGTATTAAAGTAAAACAAACAGACATACAACAGACTAGACAAATTTTTATTCGTGTATTTTATAAAAATACCTAGTTACATTTAAACCTCTAAAAATACACTGTTTCACATCTGTAACATATCTAAAAGAAATTATGAATTGTGGTCATTTCGGTAGTTCTAATGTTAAGGGGTCGGGGCAGTTTGAAATTTTCAAAAAATCGATTTCTTTTCTTTTTTTGTTTTGTTTTCTGTTTATGGTCCGCAAACACTTGCGCTGATTGCGGACCGTAACGAGCGACCAAACCGTACAAGACAATACGTTTTCACTATCTTTTTGAACTCGTTAATATATCACTGGATAGAAATTATTGAAGAGTAACAAATTTATTATTCGTTTCGCCCATGTATTCGGTTATAGTTAAATATACTTTAAGACCGAGAGAATATTGCAATTTTGGAACAAAAAGTTCTCGATGTGCGTGGCACTTGCGCTGGCAACTGATTGCG